CACCGCCATGCCTGGCTAATTTGTGTACCTGTTGTAGAGATGGGGTTTTGCCATGTTGCCCAGGCTAGTCAAAGCACTTTTTTTTTTTTTTTTTTTTGAGACAGAGTGTTGCTGTCATTGCCCAGGGTGGAGTACAGTGGTGTGATCTTGGCTCACCGCAACCTCCGCCTCCCGGGTTCAAGCAATTCTGCTGCCTCAGCCTCCCAAGTAGCTGGAATTACAGGTGCCTGCCACCACACTCGGCTAATTTTTGTATTTTTAGTAGAGACGGGGTTTCACCATCTTGGCCAGACTGGTCTTGAACTCCTCACTTCGTGACCCACCCGCCTCCCAAAGTGCTGGGATTACAGGCGTGAGCCACCGCGCTCAGCCAGAACTTGATTCGAGTTGTATGGCAAAGCTAGTGGGATTGGTTTGCTAAGAAGACTTAAAAGTGTGGCTTCTTAGGGCTAAAGTTGAGGGCCCATTTCCTTGGTTCATTTAGCCAGTTAGATGTGAAAATTGCCACCCATTGTAATGTTATGGGCTAGTTAATTGCTTACCATTTGATTACTGGATACTAGACACTGTCCTTTATTGTTTGATGCATCTACAGGAACGTCGGATTTCTCTGTGTCCTGCCTGATGGTGGGACCTGCTTGTGAAGAATGAAAGAAGTATATATAAGCCAGGCACAGTGCCTCATACCTATAATCCGAGCACTTTGGGAGAGGCCAAGGCAGGAGGATTGCTTGAGGCCAGGAATTTGAGACCAGCCTGGGCAACATAGGGAGACACCCCCCACCCCCATCTCTACAAAAAAAAAAAAAAAAATTAGCTGGACTTGGTGGCACATGCTTGTAATCCTAACTATTTGGGAGGCTGAAGTGAGAGGATCACTTGAGCCCAGGAGTTCACAGGCTGCAGTGAGCTGTGATCCGGCCACTGCATTGCAGCCTGGACAACAGTGTGACCCTGTCTCAAAAAAAAAGAAAAATGTATGTAAAACTCAATGCCTAGTTCAATAAATAACTTGCTATTAAACTCTGGTCTCCTAGAATTGAGAAGGTATTTTGTACATAAGATTATATACCTTTGACCCAGATAATTGACCTGATGGAATGATTTTCATTGTCTTAGCTATCTTTCAGTTTTAAAAATGTTTTGAAAGCAGGTTGCAATTACAGTGCTTCATTTTGTGGAAGTACTGCCATTATCCTGCTGAGAGAAAAGCCGTGTTAATCATTTTTGATTTTGCCTTTATGAGGGTAAAATCATGACAGATTGACATGGACAATTCAGGGATTGCTGTTTCCCTGTATTAGACGTGAATGGGGGAGTTGATTGATTGTAAAGATCACGCGAGGCCAGGTGCAGTGGCTCACGCCTGTAATCCCAACACTTTGGGAGACAGAAGCGGGTGGATCTCAAGGTCAGGAGTTTGAGACCAGCCTGGCCAA